GTCAGGTCAACCTGGAAATTACTTATATGCAAGGCAAGTATGATCGCATATGCTGTAATCTTTGCCTTCATTGAATCCGATATTAAGTTTCGTAAGCTGCCATTGTTGTAAGTTAAGCAGGTGAAATGCTTCAGGAGTTTCATGTTGATGATATGCGGAATTCCAGGTCCCAAGGCACTTTTCCGCTTAATCACTTTTTGAGCTCGAAATCTGATAAGTGTGTCCAGGAACCAGATGCATCGGGCCTGGTGGTCTCGGCTCTCCACATCTGACGGCAAGGATTTCAGTGCTTTAGTGACAAAGGAGCAGTGGCTGTTCTCTTTAATCATATTCAGAATTTCCTCTGATGTGACATTTCTAAAAGCTTCAGATGGGTTTTTAAGAGCTTCATACTCCACGGGGGAAAGAAGATCTTCAAATTTATACACGTCTTCAAGCTTGGCTGCATCAGCATAGCAGGGAGGAAGGTAGAGGGAATCATCTTGCAAGTCATCGTGGATGGCATCGTTGACCAGAGCGGTCACCCCCTTTGTATCAATGATATTCTCGGCAGCTTTAGTCACTGCAAGATTCAAAGACTCATTGCCAACTTTGTTCATTCTTCTGGAGTTCAGAGCTCGCTTCTGCTTGGTGGTACCGAAGGCTTCAATGCAAGAGTCCAACTTTTCTCTGTAAGTTTTGGCTTGACTCTGTGATGGCAGTTCAATGTCAATGGATTCATCTGAAAATAGTGGCTGCATATTGAACAATTCGGCATCATATACTTCCATTTGGCCAGAGGTCTTGTTCAAAACTCCCACAAAGTGCCTGCACAAAAGTGTTGCATATTCTAAAGACTTCATTTTATTAATATTTTTGTCATTTGTACACATTGTTTCATGCATGCCCATTGTGTTTTATACAATCTTCCATTTACATTATATTTTGTTCATGTACTTGGATCAAGAGGCAGTCATCATAACAGAGCAGGGAAACACTGCATGGTTCAAAATTGGGAAACGTGTACACCAGGGATGTGTCCTATCTCCATATCTTTTCAACCTGTATGCTGAACAGATTATCCGGGAGGCTGGGCTCTATGAGGAGAAATGTGGGGTCTAGATTGGTGGAAGATCTATCAACAACCTGTGATATGCAGATGATACAACCCTGCTTGCTGAAACTGAGGAGGACCTGAAACTCTTGCTGCAGAAGGTCAAAGACTGCAGCCTTCAGTATAGATTGAGACTCAAGTGTCAAAAAGACAAAAGATTCTCACCACTGGACCAATTGGCAGCATCAGGATGGATGGTGAAGAGATTGAGATTGTTAACAACTTTAGTCTGCTTGGCTCCACAATCAACACTCTTGGCACCAGTAGCCAGGAAATAAAAAAACGTATTGGGATGGGACAGTCTGCTGTTAGGGACCTCTCCAAAGTACTGAAGAGCAATGATGTCACTCTGGACACTATGATACAGGCTATGGTCTTTGCAAGCACTTGTTATGCATCAGAGAGTTGGACAATGACTAGAGAGGATAGAGGGAGAATTGATGCCTTTGAGCTGTGATGCTGGAGAAGAGTATTGAATGTACATTGGACTGCTAGGAAAACAAACAGATTCAATCTGGAGAGGGTTAAACCAGGCTGCTCCTTGGAGGCAAGGATTCTGGGGCTTTCCCTGACATACTTTGGACATGTTGTAAGGAGGGAGAGGTTCTTGGAGAGGGACATCATGCTTGGGAGGGTGGAGGGATGATGGCACAAGAGGGGAAGACCCTCTATGAGGTGGGTTGATTCAGTGACTGGGGTAATCGGGGTGAGTGTGTTAGAGGCAGTGCGATTGGCACAGGACAGAGCAGGGTTTAGGGCTGTTGTACATAGGGTCACTATGAGTCGCAAATGACTTGACGGCACATAACAACAACATCATACTGTGGGATTTTTCCCCCTTATAATCATAATTACTACTTTTGTAAATGTGTGTAAGCCAGCTTCTTCACCAGTCATGCTTTAATATTCCTTGTTAGATAGCCAATTTCTGATTTGCCATACTTGTCAAACCAGTTCTTACTTGGATCCACAATCAACACTTTTCGTACTGTCAGTCAAGAAATTAGGAGGTGTGGTCACTGAGACAATCTGCAGTCAGGGTCTTCTGCAAGTTATTGAGGAACAGTGATGTCAGTTTGAGGGCTAATGTGCATCTGATTCAAACCATAGTCTTTCCCATCACTTCCTATTCATATGAGAGCTGGTTAATAGGTAAAGATGGCCAGTTGATGGCTTTGATTTGTGATGTTGGAGAAAAGTACTGAATATCCATGTATTGCCAAAAGAACAAACAGATATGTCTGGGAAAAGTGAAGTTAGAGGGCCCGTTGGAGGAAAAGATGATAAACCTTAATCTCAAATACTTCAGTTATGTTGCTAGGAGAGGCTATTCCTTGGAGAGAGACATCATGCTTGGAAAGCTGGAGGGTCAGTGAAAGAGAGAGGCCCTCAACCAGGTGGGTTGAGGCAGTGAGTGGTAGAGTGGGCTCTAGTGTGTCAGGAAATGGGAGGATGGCACAGGATAGGATGTGGTTCAGATGCATTGTCCATAGTGTCACTGTGGGTCATACTTGACTCAACAGCACCCAACAATAGTAAAAACAGATCAAACCAGTGCTCTTGAAGGAAGAAGCGTATCCCTTTTGCTGAAGAATCCTCTGGTCAACTTGGAAGCTTTGAGCATCTGCATTCACAAGCAAAGTCCAGTCCAGAGCAAGCCATCAGGTTACAACAGCCGATATCAGATTGCAGAATAGATCATCATCTCTTCTCTAAGGACTTCTTTGTCATTTTTTTTCATACACTCTGCTTTACAAGTATCCAGGAAGGAGTTCTTATAGCATTGTGCATTATATGTTGTGTTGCCAATGCAAAGCTAGCAGTTCAAATCCAACAGCTGCTACAGGGGAGAAAGGTGAGTAATCCCCTCTCATAGATATTCACAGCCTCTGAAACCCAATGAAAGGTCAAAATGAATTACAACCAACTAGTAATATCTATAGTCATATTGATCCTCTGTAATGTTTTGCTTGAGTATTAATGATACAGTTAGATAATTTTCTCATTCTGTTGGATTAGTTTGTGTGTATTTTTTTTTAATTGACAGAAAAAAATATAGATCTCTTGCAGTCTTTTGAACAGCTAAGTGTCTTCCAAATCTTTTGGCATTGATTAATAAGCATATCCAGGGCTCCATCTATTTCTTGAAATACCTCAATTGGTGTTCTGTCATTTCCTAGAGTCTTACTTCACCAATTCCTTCAATGTAGATTGAGCTTCTTCCTTTATTGTCGTTGGGTCTTAATCATAGGCTTCATTGTGAAGTGGTTGACCATTAACCAATTTTTCTATTTTGGTACAATAACACTATGTTTTTCCTTCTGCATAATGTTGATGGCTCCTATATCATTCACTACCTTGCCCATGGAATCGTTCAGTATTGCAAATCAAGGCTTGCCATTGTTCAGTTCTCTCACATTGTCAAATACTGAGCATGCCCTTTCTTTTTTGTGTTCTAACTCCTGGTCTTTGCATGTTGTTGTTGTTGTTGTTACGTGTCATTGAGTGATAGATGATTTATAGTGACCCTATGAATGAAAGACCTGAACGCTTTTATAAATTCATCATGTCTCCAAGTTCATAGATTTTCCAGAGGGAAGCTATTTCAGAAGTGAATGCCACTCCTGCTTCCAATCTTGTTTTAATCGAGGAGCTCCACCAAACACTGTTCAACATGGGTAACCATTATCACAGTTTACACATCAGTGTCACAGTGTTTAACACAACAACCGTGAGTTACCTCTGTACAGCAAATGGACAGATCATTGCTATACCACATAGAAGAATGTTTGACCAAAAAGAATTAAAACCAGGCCTGAGGGCCTTAGATTAAAATCACCCACCTTTGGCTTGGTAACATAACTTTCTATCCACTAGGCCAACAGAGCTCTATGTTGTTGTTGTTGTTAAGTGCTGTTGAGTCGTAGATGTCTCATAGTGACCCTATGAATGAAAGACCTGAAGACTTGTATAAATTTCATCATTTCTCCACGTTTAAAGAGTTTCCAAAGGCAAGATATTTTGGAAGTGAATATCATTCCTGCTTCCAACCTTGTTTTAGTTGGGGAGCCCCATCAAACACTGTCCACCATGGGTGACCAATATTGCATCAGTGTCACAGTGTTTAGCATCACAGCAACCATGAGTTACCTCTCTACAACAATGCACACACCAGTGCTATACCACTTAGAAGAATAACCAAAAACAATGAAAATTCGGCTGAGGGCCGCAGATTAAAATCATCCACCTTGGGCTTAGTAACATCACTTTCTATCCACGAGGCCCACAGAGCTCTCTGTATGTTGCTGTTAAGTGCCGTCAAGTCATCTTTGCATACTTTTAATTTTTTGCTTTATCTTCTAGAGCTTCCCTTTGAAATCTTACATTCAATTTTCTTCATCATTTCTTCCTTTCACATTAGCTTTTCAACTTTCTAGAGCAAGTCTGAGTCTCTCATGACAGTCATTTTGTTGTTAGGTTTTTTTTCCCTTTCTTTAATGTCTTCTCAGTGACTTTTTACTTTATATATATGGCTCCCTTGCATAATTCAGTTGTGCTTTGATCTGTAAAGTTCAGTGTATCATTAAGTGATTTCTGAATTCAGGTGAGATACACTCAAGGTAATGTTTTTGCTCTTCTGGACTAGTTTATATTTTCTTCAGCTGCCATTTGAACATGCATATGAACAACTGAGAGTTTACTTTTCATTTGGCCCCCTTGCTTTTTTCTTTCTTTTCTGGGTGGTGTCACATAGTTTCTTCTTTGTCTTTTTCCAAGGGCGATCTGGGACTTAGGGGTAAACGAATGCACAGCCAGCACAAAGGTGTGCATTTGGAATCCACTAGCTGCTCTGTGGGAGAAAAATAGGACCTCTCCTCCTGTGTGATTAATTGTCTCAAAAAACCCAGCGAAGGGTCAATTCTGACTCAATGCTATATAACAACAGTCTCTTTCCACCAACGTAGTCAGTTTGATTACTGTGTATTCCATGAGGTGAGGTCCATGTGCATAACCACAATTTATGCTTTATCTTAGAAAATATTTGCAGTGAATAGATAATTGATTGTATTAAATTATATCATTCCATGCCAAGTCTCATTTCTATCATCAAGACCATATTTTCTGTTGGCACATCACAACAACAACAACAATACTTCTTTGTTTTTAATGTTTGAATTCTGATCTCTAGTTATTAATATTTCATATTGTTTGTATATTTAATTTAGTAGTTGATATACAAACTTAAATAATAGCTGTAATAGCAGGCATTCCTAGACTATTTTTATAGATATAATCCTATTGCTGACAAAACTGTATTTCAGAATACATGTTGAAATGCTATTTTTTGAGGATAAATAAGACCTCATTCCTATCCAATTTGTTATTCCCAGCCGAGCAAACCATATGGTTAATCCATTCAAAATAGCCAATACCAGTCCGTTTTGATTCACTGATACCTGGGATCTCATTCATTTTTTTTTTTACTACTTCCAGTTTTCTCGATTTATACTTCTTGCATTTCATATTCCAGTTTTTAATGGATGTTGTAGCTTTTTCTCTTCTTTTGTAGAACAAACAATTTGAGTCATGTCTTATCAGTAGATGAAGAGCCTTTATTGGCAGAAAGCTTTACATCATCCTATAGTTAATCATTATCTTATCTCATTGTGTTGAGTCAGAACCAAGTCACACCTGACCCTACAATGAGTTTCTGAGGCTGTAAATTGCAAGGGAGGAAATTGCTCTGTCTCTATCCTTTTACGTCTGTGATGAATTCAAACTGCCAGAGAAGTGCAGCCTTCGGTTAGCAGCATAGGTTAGCAGCATAGGTTAGCAGCATAGGTCCGTACAAACTACACGATAGAGCCCCCTATGTCATAAAGGTAGACTATTCAAGGAGGTAGCTCTTTTGCAGAACTATTTTTAGTGCTGGACTGAGGGCCTCATCTTCCAGTACAGTATCAGACAATGTTCTGCAGCTATTTAGAGAGGTGTCAAGGGCCTATTGTATCACAGGTGGATGGCCAGTCCTGCTTTGGAGTCGGCCTTAGTCTGGGAGCTCTACTGAAACCTGGAGTCTATGGGGGACTCTCCTCATTATTTGAAATGCTGGTGGTCTTGCTTCCAGTATCCTAACAGCACACCAGCCATAACAGTACTACAGACTAATACACACATAGTGATCATCGCCCCTCCAAAAAAATGTGATCTGACAGAATGTAGACGCTCTCAAACAATATCAATATCACACACAAATAAAATTGTAGTGATGATAATTGAAAAACACTCGGAATAGTAAATCAAGAAGGAACTGCCAGAAATTCAAGCTGGGTTCGGGAGAGGCACAAGGAATGTCATTGCTGATGTCACATGGATCTTGCCTCAAAGCAAAGACTACTAGGAAGATGTTTACTTATGTTTTACGACTCTGTGAAAGCATTTGACTGTGTGGATCATAGTAAACCATAGATAACATTGAGAAGAATGGGAATTCTGAAACACTTAACTCATTCTCATGTGAAATCTTTACACAGACTAAGAAACGTTCACGTCAGCAGAATAAAAGAACACTGCATGGTTTGAAAGCAGAAAAAGTATACACCAGGGTAATATTCTTTTACCATATCCTTTATCATATCTATTCAATCTGTATAAACTAAGAAAATCGTTACCTTCAATTCTGACTGTTAGTAACCCTTCATCCTATTCTGAGGATGTCAGTCTTAATGAAAGGAGACTGCACAGCTCTCCCCCAAAGAACTTCTGGTGGATTCGAACAGCTAGAGATGCACAGGCTTTGGTTAGCAATACAACGCACTACCATTTATGCCACCAGTGCTTCTTACACTATCTATTTATTAAGCAAATAAATTCATATAAGAGACTAGACCTTAAAAAGAAATATACAGCATTAGGATTGGAGGAAAAACTCAAGAGGCTACATTATTCATATAACTTTGCTTGTTGAAAGCAAATAGAACTTGAAACATTTACTTAATAAGAGCAAAGACCACAGCCTTCAGTAAGGATTGTTTTGTTGTTTTTTGTTGTGTACCAAAGAGTCAGAACCGACCCATAGCTGACCCTCCAGTGGGTTTTCAGAGGTTGTGTACCAAAGAGTCAGAACTGACCCACAGCTGACTGTCTGATGGGTTGTCAGAGGCATTTAATCGCATGGGAGGAGATTACCCATCCTTCTCCCGTGGGGCAGCTATTGGTCTCAAACTATGTGCCTTCTGGATTGCAGCACAGCTTCTTGCCACTAGGCCACCAAGCTTCTCAGGAAAACCCTCACAAATGGAGCAAGAGGCAATATCATGATAGTGGAGAAGATTGATGTTGTCAAGGAATTTAATTTCTGCCTAGATCCAGCAGTCAAGGAATCCTATCTGTTGTCAAGGATTTCTTTAACATACTGGAGAGCAAAGATGTCATATCTGACCTACGTCATGGTAAGCTGGGCAATGAATAAGGAAAACTGAGGAACTGATGCCTTTGGATTGTGTTTTTGAAGTAAAATATTGAATATGCCACAGGCAAACAGATCTGTCTTAGCAGAAGGCCAGCCGAAGTACTCCTTGGAGGCAAGGTTAATGAGACTTCTTCATCATATGCTTCTGTTGTGTTATTAGGACAACCACTTATAAAAGGATGTCAGACTTAGAAAAGTAGAAGGTCAGTGAAAGAGAGGAAGACCTAGATGGAGATGGACTTATACAGTGATTATGACGAGGGACGGACACATAGCAGTCTATGAGTCTATGAGGATAACACACTGCACCTAAGGTGGCTGTGAATTGGGGCCAATGTGATGACATCTATAAACAACAACGCGGTCACTTTTAAGGAAGCACATCAGCACGCTGGTTGAACACTCAGCTGACAACTGAAAAGTTGGTAGTTCTCACCCATCAACTACTCTGAAGGAGAAATTCGTAGCCCTTTGCGTCCATAAAGGCTACAGCTGCCTTGGAAGCCAGTGTGGGAGTTCCATTTTTCTTAAAGATTTGCTGTGGGTGAAAGCTAATGGCAGTGGATTTTATTTTTATTTTTTTAATTTTTTTTTTGCTTTAGTAAGATTTGTTCTTATTAGAAATGACTTCTGTTTTCTATCTGCTGCTTTTCCCTTGGTCAACCAAATAAACCTTACTACTCTGAATACCAGTTAAAGGCCTTCAAGCTATCATTTTCCTCCAGCAGCTGTCTTCTGTATTAACTGGTGAAGAGCCAAAGCAGCCTGTATCAGTCTTTTTCTCTTCCTCCCTGCTTGCTCTAGAGGAAGGATTTTTGCAACCACTCTTTATTCCCTAAAGCAGCAGCTTCCAATTAGTGCCTAATAAGGGTCTCCAACTGATGAAATTAGAGTGGAAATTGGAGCCAGGATCCCAATTTATCACCATGTAAGTGAATGGCAGGGAATCCATTAGCTCATCAATCACGCCTCTCATTTCTGCAAAGGTCAGACTGTGCCATCTATGGTTATAAAACACCACTTGTAGCTGCATGCTTCACTTTAACTTCTCGCCGACACGTGAGGTTGGTTATGGGAGGACCTACACTAAGAGTTCATATTTTAAAAAGCTGTTTTGTGAGCTTCCTGGCCTTACCTTTTAATAGGGGGAGCTATTAGAGCAGGCTGAGAATCGCTTCATCACACACTTGCGTGCAAAAGGAAATGACTTCTCTGTGTGTAGAACTTAACATCTTTCTGCAAAAAGTGTGTTTAGGGGTGTGTTATGGTAATTATGCTCATTTTCCTCTCCCAAACTCAAAAGAATTAGTAACATCCATCTTTTCTTTTCTTTTTTTTTCTTCCGGGTGCCGAGCATCTGTGCTGTGTTTATTTAAATACCAGAGGTGGTGCGTTTTCTCCAGTCAATCAATGCTCCCTGGGCGAGTTGTGAAAGCGTCCTGGAGGTGACAAGGGCTGTGTGCCCGCGGTGGGCAGGGCGAGGGGGCTGCTCTCCCAGGAAGCATCCTGAAGCTCGGAGGGGGCATGGCTCCAGAGGGCCCAAGACCACCCTCTTCACACCTGATGCCCCTTCCAGAAAGGACTAGAAGCTGAGTCCGGTTCAGGGAGTACAAAACTAGGGAAAGTTCTGGAAAGCCAGGAAGGGCCCAGTAGGTCAACTGATCTGGCTCTGTGAACTTGGGCCCAGGGCCTCGTTGCAGTGCAAGTCCCTCCAGACAAGGAAGAAGGCTGCCGGCATCCCCAGAAAATCGGGGCCACGCCAGTCCTCCGGACCCAGCCTCGCTCAGAGATGAGAAGGCCCAGCCGCTCCGGTCCTGTCACAGCTCACTGTGGGGGGGCACCCAGGCCACGATCACCAGCTTGGACAGCTCAGCCTTGAAGGCCCCGGGCCTGTGGGAGACTGCTGTTTTGCTCACTTCAAACTCCTCGCTTTTCAAGGGCACGTCACTCTCACTTTCGAGCGCAGCCGCTTTTGAGTAGGCCATTCCATGCTCGATCTCGGCACCTTGCACTTCCACCTTAAACTGGGTGAAGTACAGGTAGGACTTCCCCTGGGGTCTCCAGATGGTACAGATGATATGCTGCTGGTCCTCCCTGGACCCCAGGCTCATCTGCCACTGCTCATTGGTCCCTCCTTGAGAAGCGTACGTGAAAGTGCACGTGTACTTATCCTCAGGACCGGCGTGCTGGGAGAAGGCATGCACGATGCCGCGGGGCCGCACGTCGAAGGCCACCGTGGTGGGCGCGGACTCGGCCCTGGCCAGCCTCAGGGCCACGGCCGTCGGCAGCGGCGCTGCCCACCAGCCCGCGCCTCCGCCGCTCCTTCCGCTGGGCACCGCCGTCTTGGATCGGGTGCGTGGGATCCATCTTTTCTTGAATCAGACAGACACTGTTTCTCCACCTCTACCACTAGATACACAGACAGGAGGGCCATTCAGCAATTAGCCGCGTTTAGGGTTAGGATTTGCAGAGTTAGAGCCTTGTGTTTGTTCTTCTTTTTAAACTGGACTTTCTGTAGTGAGAAAAGGCTATTTTCAATCACTCCTCCTTCTATCCTGTTTCTTTTGACTATCTATTATACCATGGAGTAAGTGATGTGTAGAGATGCCAAGGAAAGTTTTATTTCTGGTGAAGATTAAGAGATTGCAGCCCTGTGGGCCCAGCACATTCATTGCATGATAAGAAAATTGTGAAAAGGCATTTCTTACCAATTACAGACTTTCCTTTTGGTCATGGTCCTGGAATTCAGGTCAGGTCCAGCTTTGTGCTTGAAGACTGTGAATAATGTTAAGTTCTGAGCAAACCTTTCAAAGACCACAGTGTTTTTCTGGTCACACACAACATCGGATTTATCCCAGCTAAACCGGCATAATATGAAACAAGGAAGTAAAAATATGAGGAGGTTTTCTTGGTGAATTACCAAGAATGGCTGTTTCTCTGCTCATTAGCAATACTCCTGGGGACTCGGGGCCCTTGGGGTGCCCATGGCTCATCTTTTTCCTCCAGTTTTGAAGATGGAAAAGAGGAAACTTGAATGTATCCCTCAGGTCTAGAATATACTAATTTTAAATGATTCCACAAAGTAGTACTGGCATTTTGATTGCCTCTTTCATTTTCACTACCAAATCTTGCTGTCTCTTCTCTCCTTGTTATCTATCAGAAGCTCTGTGAAATAGAATTCATGATGATCATTATTCCACGGCCTCATACCTAGGCCCTGCTGTCCCCTCCTTTTCCACCCTCTCACACACCCTTGTCTCCATTGCATTCAGCTTGGCTTACATTTCCCAGGCTCTCCTTAGAATAAATCTCTTGGTCTAAATCTCCAAAGCCTCAGTGACTGCCATTGCTTACAAATAAAATTATTCCTGATTGCATTTTATATTCATTTATCCCCATTACTTGCTCCAGTGGAAGCCCACTATGGTCTTTTAAGACTTCCTTCTGTATCCACTGTGGCCTTTGTGTACAATTTATGAGAATTATGTTTAGATTTATATTTGATTGCTCACTTGGCGGACAAATGTTCCACCTCCAAGTAATATGTATTAGATTATTCCTAACTAAAACCACTTGCCCTTGTCCATTTGTATTTTAAAGTCCAGCCACATTGAGGATTGTGCTGCCTAAGGAGCGTGAAGTTTAGATTATGTCACTTGTGTATGCAAGTGGATTTTTATAATCCGCATTATATTCACTTCCTGAGCATGTTCCACAGGTCGCCTGTATGTTTGAATGACAAGACTATTGTCCTAGAACAGTGTGATGCTCCCAACTACTGACAAGAATTGGGACATATAAATATCTTCCCAAAGCTTTCACTTTAGTCTTATAATTACCTAACAAACAGCTGCAAACCTCAGTGCTAGACCCTTCTTTGTCCCTTTCTTTTTGAAAACACAATATACTTTCTTTCTCACCTCCAACTGAATACTTGTAACATCTAAGACCTTTGCTATTTCCAGAAGGTCAACCAATCTTCCTTTCAGGGTCTGTTGTGTTTGTTTTTTTCTTCTCTTGCAATAGAGAAATAAAATTGTCATTTCTCACTTGATTACTGGTTCTGAAATTGAGACTCAGATTAGCTCCATTCCTATAGCTCTCCATCTACCTGAGCATCTGCCCATCATCTACCTTTACACTATTTTCCTAGATAGTATCTTCTAGAGAATTCCTTCAAGGGAGAAGTATTTTTGCTTGTAGTCAGGACTCAATGAGACAATCCATGCACTTGAAGACTTAGGTCCCTTTGCTGAAGAGGTAAGCTTTTCCAAAGTTTTCTCTAAGTGTTACTCATAGCTGACATGACATTGCTTTTTGTCATTTCTGAGTGACTAATAAGTACAATCTGTTCTACGAAAATTGGAAGTACCATCATGACAGGAGTCCCTGGCATGCTATGAGAGAACCTGCACAATCCCATTTATACCTTGACATAATTACAGCCTATAAGTGGGAGCTGAGAAGACGGCACAGCCTCTGTACTGAATCTGCCTGCCCTTGTTATTTGCACAGTGCTGTTGTACCAAGTGTGGGCTCTGTAGTTCAGATTGCCTCAAGTTCTCTGTGTCAGTGTGTTCTCTCCATTCCTGAAAAGTTACCTAACACAGAGGGAGTCTATCAGTGCCCCAGTGTGTTAGTTCTTTACTTGTAGAACACCCTGCATTTTTTAAGATCTGCATGATATTTTTGTGTTGTTGCAGGGTGACTATCCCATGTGACAGTAAACCATATTATTAACTTTCATGAAATATAACTATGCAATTCACTTTAAGACTGTGGTTTATTTTAAGTAGGCACTTAAAGGCTATGCAGTAAATATCAATCTGTTATGAAAAAAATACACTATTATGCATTTTTTTAAATCTATGAGATTTCTATTTATTTCCATCATAAATAATCTCAACTAGATTAGCACAGATAACAGACGCTTACCTGATTCTTCTGTTAGAAGACCTCTGTGATGGGTGGGTTACTGAAGGAACTATGACACATAAGGGAAGGGGATCCTGGCATGATTTGGGGCCCTATTTTAATTAACTGCAAATGTTTCCTTATAGAGAAGAAAATAGAAGGTATAACAAAGTGTGGAGGTTGACTTTCACCTAGGGCAACAGCTGCTTAAAAGATAGTGACATTCAGGGAAGGAGTTAAGGACTGCAGATTATAGGAAAGCTAGAGATAAGGAACCTAGATACAGACTCCTCCAATAAAGAAACATTACTCTAAGAAAAACAGATGTTCTATTTAACGTATCTTTGCTCAGAATATAATAAACAGGAGTGTGATTTCCAGCTTAACTTCTTGACCAGTCTTGCCCATCTTTGTGGAAAAAAGGCAGTTGCTTCCCGTCTTTATGGTGTGAAGCTTTGTGGTCTTAGTTGGCCTGAATTGAGAAACTTCCTAATGAAAGAAAACCAACTTTGAGCTCTGCATTGCTTTGAAATGAAATGAAACTGTAATTAATCACAACAGTACCTACATTCATTTGGCAAGGATAACAGCAGCATATTTGAGATTATTTCGTACACTGAGGACTGAGGGTACAGACAAGCTTTGCTATGTGAACGCACGCAGGACTGCCTTGAATAATGGTGTGGCCCTTATGGTTTGCACATCTTAATTAAACTCCTATTGATAGAAGTTGGGATTTTCCTTAATTAAGTTTGGGTTTAAACTTGTTTGTTTTAAACTTAAGTTTTAAACTTAAGTTTGGTTTTAAAGTTCACAATTTGTTTCTTGTTTAGTCTTGGAAATTAAGCATATTAAACATGATTAAGTTTACTTGGAGATTTTTTTAAAATAGCAGAATTTAGAAGAAAAAGCATATTGGATGTTTATAATTATTGGTGGCTCTTAGCAGCCAGGTATGATAGCTTACTCAGTACATTCTGAGGAAGTCTTCAGGTGCTGAACCTCTAAAGAAGCCAGTACCTGTGGATGCCAATATCAGAAAGAGGGAGGCAGCCATGGCCTCAGAATGAAGCATCTGGGTTAAAACTGACAGCTACCAGAGCTCCTGAGATTCAATCACTGGGGCCCAGGGAAGCCTGCCTCCTAATACTTGTCCTCTTGAACAAGCTACAGCACCAAATGACAGCTGTAATGGTTTTCCTGCAGTTACAAGTTTAACAACATTTATGGATATTTTTTAAACTGCATCATCACACACAGATTGCACCTGTCCAAAAGATAAACACTTGACATTAACACAGAAATAGAGTTTTTAAAGAGCAATTTTAGATTTTGAAAGTGGGAAAAGAATCTCCCATACCCAAAAACTAGAAATACATTGCTTATTCAAAGTTTTCTATGTAGGTGACAGGCCTTATCTTATTGTCTTTGTTACATGTCCTTGAGTCAGAACTGACTCTAGCTGACCCTCCAGCAGGTTTTCAGAGGCTGTAAATTTCATTGCAGGAGACAGCTGGTGAAATGGAACTGCTTGCTTTTGCATCGGCAGTGCAACTTATCACTGCGAAGTTACAAGACCTTTCTGTCTAATTTATATTGTTATGTACTATTGAGTCAGAACCTGCTCATAACTGCACTACCAGCAGGTTTTCAGTGGCTCTGTAATTGCTCAAGAGGAGATTGACGGTATTTCTCTCCTGCAGAGCCACTGGTGGATTCAAGCCCCATGCCTTTGAGTTGGCAACACAACTCTTTACATTAAGTCACCAAAGCCTTTAAAAAATTCTGTTCTTTGTTTCCTTTTGTAAAAAAAAAAAATAAAAGGTTCACATCCTCATCTTTGTTGAATGAGTATCTAGTTTCTCTTGAAGCATGATGATGTACCTTAAAAGGCTAAAAGACAGATCCTGTGCCTTATTAGTTGGCATAACCAGGATGTGTGAATTCTCAGATAATCTAGTGTGAGCACTAGTTCAGTCATTTATGAGCAATATTTCCATAGGTGATCCATTTAACTTCTTTGAAAGTTCATTATTTCCATTTTTAAATGGAACTTCTAATAACCTTATCTAGCTTGTGATGTTTGAAATCTGACATAGATTATTTAATGTAAACTATAAAGTTCAACACAGCATAACCATATCACTGATGGCCAGGGATCTTTGATGGACACAGTTGTTAAGCCTGTGAATAGAGCTGAGTTAGACTTGGACTTCAGCATTGTATTTATGACATTTAGCCCAAGCACCTGCATATGCATAATGAACTAAAACAAAAGGTATTTGTTTGAATGTGATACTTTTCAATCATTTAGGCAATTCCTAGTTGAGGAGTGCGTAACTTGTTTGCTGATTAAATGGGACAAAATTTGGTAGATGAAGAGAAGGTACTTCAAAACCTTGCAACAGTTCTGAAAGCATGAGCTGTAGAGGAGAAAAGGAGGGGAGGGAATCGTGAA